TCGGGACCATCGCTATTCCGGATAACTGATTTTTCCGGTTTTCTGAATCGCTACAAAAAGCCGTTTTTTTATTGTTAAACCCAACTAAAAAAAATTTTTTTTTAGGAAATAATCTTGAAAAGAAGAAAAAACGATGAAGTAATACACTAATGATTATTTCCAAAATGATGGTAAGGTGAACATCTTTCAAAAAAGAAAGAAAAATCCTAAAATCTTATAAGGAAAAAAAAAATTTGTTTAAAAAATGGCGGGAAAATTTATCGAATTTCGTTCCGGTTTTCTGGTTTTCCGGTTTTCTGATTTCCGGATAACGGGTTCTGTACTGTATTATAGTTTATGTAAAAATAGGCCTAGGCGTTGTAAGAAATTTTATATCGTGATAGATCGTCAGTCACACATCGTGATTTAACATATGTTTGATATTTATCAATCAGAAATCTTTAAATCAATCAAAAATATATGAAAGAAATAAATCTAAAACAGAAGAAGATTTTATTTCTAAAAAAAAAAAAAAAAATTCTTCCATAACATCAATAGCATTGCTTAATTTTTTCAATTAAAATAAAGATGGATTGATTTAAGACTGTCTTTAAGTAAAAACAAACAAGAACTTTATTTGAATTTTTTTTTTAAAACTAAAAATGACTTAGATTTTTTAAAAATAATAATAAAACTGTTACAAAATAATTTACACACATTAAAAATTAAAAAAAAAGAAAGAAATGTCCACTTAAATAAAACATTTTTTAAATTATTTTTTGAAAAAAAAATGTGCTTTTGAAACGTCCTTAGGCTTTTGTTAATTACATATTTAAAATAAAATGATAAAGTTGAATTGACTAATGGTCAAATGGTTTTAATGTAAAAATAAATGTAAGTTTTTTAATTTATTTATTATTATTTTCCGGTTTGAAAATGAAATAGACTACAGATTTAAATGTTTAAAAATAATACTGACTATCAAACAAATTATTAAACGAACACATATTGAAGGAATTTTTAAAAAAATTAAAAAAATATTCTATAGTTAAGAGCACTATTGTTAAATTATTGAAAAGCATCAAAACCTTGCTTAAATTTTCATTTAATTTAAAAAAATTTAGTCATTTTAACTAACAGCCAAATTAAAAGAGAAAGAAAGAACACAAACTCTGTATTAATTTCCTCAAAAATAAAAGCAAAATTAATTAAATGTTGGCTTTGTTTTAATTTTTTTAAAACTAAAAGCTACAGAAGATTTATTGGTTTAAAAATTAATCAAATTCTATCGAATTATTATATTTATGTGAATTAAATAATTTTTTTAAAAAAAATAACTTTTTATGACAAAGTATAAATTACTTAAATATAAAATATTGAATTGGGTATAATATTAAAAAAACACAACTACTTCCACTTAGTAGGAATAACATTTACCATGACGCAATGCAAAATTCTATGCCACTATCCACATAAATCAATTATTAATCAAAAATCGAATATCAATTACTTTTCTTTATAATGCAATAAAATCTGGCGACCAGCTATTTAAACGATCAAACACTTCGTTTATTTATTTGTGGCTTGAAGTTAGGCTCGCAGAAAATGCCGTTCATGGGTTAAATTTAGTAAAGGTCTGCTGAAAATAATTGACAACGTTAAATCCAGACAGAAAAAAAATTTGACGAAATAATGCGCAACGATCTCAAGTAGCAAAAGTCTCACTTGAAATAATTTACTTGAAACCAGTACCGTCTTTACGTATGGGCACAATCAGGCGCTCAGGGGGATGTTGAGAATCTAATTCTTTATAGATTATATTTTTTTTTAAAAAAAAACTTATGATAAATAAACTTAAAGCTTATAATTTTTTTTCTAAAATATACATTATGAAAAAATTTCTTCATTACGCACTTTAAAGTGCATACTTTGCTTTTCTTTCTACAAATAGTGATTGGTTACAGTGAAAACACCATCAGTTTGAATAGCTTATAATCATGACAACTTAAAAAGACGCCCGAAGTTTAATGATCTACATTTCTATGAAATTTTTTGGTGATCAACCTTCATTTCTTTTTCAATTTGTCCCTGTCCTTTCATATATTGTCCTCGCTCCTAGGGAACCCTTTTGGCGAGTAATCGGAGGAACAAAGTCATAAATTTTACTAGTCCAAGAGGCTATTTATATAATAGCATAACAAATTGAAAAGAACTTCGTTCTGCTAGCTTCCTGTCTCCAAACCATTGCTTTCTTGTAGAAGGATTCTTTAAGGGAATGGATTTTGCAAGTTAAAAAAAGACCATTACAGTAGAGGATTTAAGTAATCCTCCACGTTCCTTTTGCTGCCCTTAGAGTTAAGGCAGCTAAGACCTCTGTGCAATGTGTCAAATATTTTGATTTCGTGCAGAGATTGTATACTTTTTTCGCATTATCAACTCACCAGTGGAGTATTTTAATTTCTTCTCTATATGATGAAAAAGTTGCAAAACAGGCACTAAGTGGTCATTGCGGTCTGACGCTGTTCATTCGTTAAATTAAGGCAATGAAAAAATTCAACAGGCTCTCTATTTATTAGCAAATGACACTGAACAAGAAGCAAGTACAAAGCTTATAAACTTCATAAAATAAAAAAAGCACATTAGAAATAATTTTTTTTCTATCTTATGGAGTGATATTCTTAAAAGGGTGATTAAAACTACATCTTTTTACAATCACTTGAAATGAATTTAAGTACAGCTTCTAAACTTTTTGATTCCTTAAAAGTATATTTTTTTGATCTCAGAGAGAAATCTAGTGATCATGAATCAAGAGCCAGAAATAAAATGCCAAATTGTGATTTTGAATATTTAGCTAAACGAGACAGAACGCGAAGTATACGTTTTACAAGGCATAATGGTCCGGAAAAGGAAATTCAGTGGAAGTGATAAGTTTCAAGTAGAGGAATCTCTACCTTCTTCAGATTCGTTCATTACTGAAATAAGTAAACGTGGAGAAGCGTAGAAAAACATATGGGAAAATTTTCACTTTTTAAATAATCTAATGCATAGGTTCCCAAAGTGGTCCAGGTGGACCCCCAGGGGTCCATAGGAGACCACACGGGGGTCCACGTAGACTTGAAAAGAAAACAGGGGTTCACAAGTAGTAAGTGGGGGTCCGCGAAACAATTTTCTGGTTTTCATAATAAAGAACAAAAATTTTGGCTTGGATTTACCTTAAAAACTTTATGCAAAAACTTTGAAGTCGGACACTAAAGGCGAATCGATATTTAATGTCCTGAGTGATTTTTTTACAGAAAAATCTATTCCATTTACAAACATTATTTCGGCGGCAGCAGATGGAGCTCCTGCCATGTTTGGGTGAAATCGTGGGTTTATAAGTCATCTTAAAAGAATAATACCGATTCACTGTGTCACCGACAACACCTTGTAGCGAAAAATTTGAGTGACAGATTGCACCATTCAATTCGCTTCAATTTGTGATTAACGCAGTTAATAAAATAAGAACCAATGCTTTGAATTCCTGTTTATTTGCACTATTGTGCGATGAAAATAATGAAGATTTCCAACGACTGCTCTTACATACTGAAGTACGCTGGTTGTCGAAAGGTGCATGCTTATCGAGATTTTACTCACTTTTCGAATCAGTGATAGAGTGTCTGGAAACTAAAGCACCAGATTTAAAAGAAAATCTGATCAAATATAAAGCGGACATTGCGTACTTGACAGATTTGTGCATAAAATTCAATGACGTTAACTTGCAGCTAGAAGGGGACAGCCTTTATTTAATAAAAACAAAGGGTGTAATTTCGGCTTTTCTTGGTAAATTGAAATTAATGAAGCAAAATATTAGTCGGCGCGAATTCTCCCAGTTCCCGCACTTGTCACAGATAGAATGTCTTGATGAGGATATTCAGACATACGCTTAACATTTAAATGCTTAACATGATGACTTCAAAAATAGATTTGAAGATATTCTGACGATGGAAATATAACCCCATTTGATGAAACGGAAGAGGCGAATGTGGTGGTGAAAAAGGCTATCAAACATTTTGGCTGCAGGCAGAAATCCCTGAAAAATATCCTGGGCTGTGGGAAATTGCGAGTAAATTCTTGATAGCGTTTATCTC